TGGGAAGGGAAGGGAAGGGAAGGGAAGGGAAGGGAAGGGAAGGGGGAACAAGAAAGGTTTAGGCACAACTGGATATCATTTCCTATTCTGTATGTGATAGGTAGCAAGGGCTAAGGTTTGGCAGGACACTGACAGTGTCATATTCACTGGGAAGACTACCAGCCCAGGGAGGAGACAGGAGGAGGCACAGCTTCCCTCTTGGAATTGGTGTCTGGCCAGTCCATGGCAGCTTGGACCCAAAGGTCCATCCCACCATACTGCAGCAGCAATTATGTTTATGAAGTACTTCATAGCCTGAATGAAGTATCCCTTGCTATGTGCCTTTTCTGTTTCCCATACATGTCTTTGGAAGGCAAGAGCCTTGTGTCATTTTAGCCAACAAGTTCCTATGTGCAGGTACATCTGCCCAGTGCTGTTCATTACCTGAGGAACAAAACAGCTTTAATATTAATTGCCCAAGTACTTTCTGCCTAGAGTGACCTGCATGATGCCTCAATAGAACAGCCAAACAACCATCATCAGCTCAAAAACTTGACTTTAGACATGGAATTCAGCCTGAGTCTTTCATGCAAGTATGGTCTTCTACCTTCACAAAGCAAAATATATCCTGAAGATTGGCTTGGCTTTGTTATTTATTAATTGTACATGATGAATTTATCTGTCAAGTTATGAATAATCAGTTACTAGCTAATTATAAATAGCTCTAGGATAGACTGCAACAACTGCTTAACAGCATCTGGCGTCTAGAACTGAGTGTTTGCAGTAGGAAACCCTGCTAGCCATTTTGACTTCTTTATATGAGACAGGCTATTAATATCAGGAGTATTGCAGAAACATAACAGTAACTTATCTAGGATTTTTGAGCTTAGAAAAAAAAAGCTAAACTTAAAGCAAAAAATGTAGAACTCATGTTTATTGAACAATAATTTGAATAGATTGTAAAAGTAAGGCACCATTCAAGAAATGTATGAACCTTATTTAATTCCATATCCATTAATGTGCAAAGTAAACAGCATTTTCTTCTCTATTACATATTGATGTCATGTAAATTA